GTGTGGGTTACCACCTGTGAGCAATTGAGTGTTCACTCTTTAATTAATAGGGAGAGAATTAAGCAAAAATGAAGAAATGTATGTAGTTTGTTTAAATGATTTGACTCTACATTTTGGTTGTATACAGTTTCTTTCTTTTGGTCTCTCAGAATATGTTTTACTTATCTTGAGAGATTTGAAATAGTGCATAAAAGAACCATTTAAATGATCTTCTTTGATGTTCATGAACTGTGTGAATTAAAGTTGGGTTTTATTCTATTTTTTTTCATATTCAATATTATTCTGTATTAGTTTCAGGTGTACAATATAGTGGTTAGACAGTCATATACTTTACAAAGTGGTCACCCTAATATTTCAAAGTACCCCCCTGGCCTGCACATAGCTATTACAATATTATATTTTCCCCCCATTGACCTCTCCTTGGCCACTCCCACCCCCCAGCACATGTCCTCACACCCCTAGTGTCTGTGTCCATTGGTAATGCTTATATGCATGCATACAAGTCCTTTGGTTGATCTCTTACCCCCGCCCCCTCCCCTGCCTTCCCTTTGAGGTTTGACAGTCAGTTCGATGCTTCTCTGTCTCTCGATCTATTTTTGTTCATCATTTTATGTTCACTATATTCCACAAATGAGTGAGATCATGTGGTATTTATCTTTCTCTGACTGGCTTATTTCGTTTAGCATAGTGCTCTCCAGGTCCATCCATGCTGTTGCAAATGGTAAGAGTTCCTTCTTTTTTATAGCAGTGTAGTATTCCATTGTGTAGATATACCACAGTTTTTTAATCCATTCGTCTGCTGATGGGCACCTAGGCTGTTTCCAAATCTTAGCTATTGTAAATTGTGCTGCTATGAACATAGGGGTGCATATATCTTTTCCGATTGGTGTTTCTGATTTCCTGGGATATATTCCTAGAAGTGGGTTTACTGGGTTTTAACGAATATATAAATTTTCTTTTCCAGAGCTAAGCCATGCGATTCAAGAAGATTTTTCTGGTAAGCTTTACCAAAAAACAATTATATAATGCATACATATACACATATGCACATACATATGTACCTACATATGAAGGAGGGGGAAATAAGCATTTGTTTTATTTTTCATATTTATATTTCTGTTTTAAAATAAAGATGTGACATTTTTTATATAAACAAATGCATTAATTTTTAAATATATTCTCCCTCTGATTTCAGGTTCCTCCCACCTATTTTCTTTCCCCTTGTTCTTTCTATGTCTTTGCTCTTCCCTTTTCTTCTCCTTAGGAAAAAAAAAATTATCTCCCTTTTATTTTTTCCTTCCTTCTTTCCTCCCTCCCTTCCTTCCATCCTTCTTTCCTTATCTCTGCCCTACTCCTGACATTCAGCTTGTAGAAATATTCTAGACCAGATAAATTTTTCTTTTTTGAATGTTTAATGTTGATAAAGTATATTAAATTGTAAATATTGCTGCATATAAATACACAATGTGGATTTTACACAGCTGTTTAACAACAGAAGACTCATTATAGAGTGGTGGTTTCTTGGGGATTTTTTAAGCTTTATTTTAAATATAATAAAATCATATTTAATATGTACAACAAGATGATTTGATACAGGTATATATTGTGAAAGGATTCGCACAATTGAATTAATTAACATCCATAATCTCACATATTTACTTTTTATTTTTTGGTGAGAACACACGTTCTACGCTCTTAGTAAATTTTAGTTATACAATACAGTATTATCAACTGTAGTGACCATGTTATACTTTAGATTCTCAGATTATTCATCTTATAACTGAAAGTTTATACCCTTCCCAATTTTCCCTAACCACCAGCCCCTGTTTCTATGAGTTCACCTTTATTTTTTTTTTTTTAAAGATTCCACCATAAGAGATGCCATGTCATATTCATCTTCTCTGTCTGGCTTATTTCACTTAACATAACACCCTGCAGCTTTACCCATGTTGTTGCATGGCAGGATTTCCTTCTTTTTTAAGGCTGAATAACAATCCATTTTGTGTTCGTGCGTGTGTGTATTCTTGTTTTAAGGTACTGTCAGAATACCTTACCCTGGGTCTGTCTCCCCTTTTTATGTACCATAGTAGCTATAAATTACATAAATTTAGCTCTTTAAAGTCACAAACCATATTTTTATGTTTGGTAAGCTTCAGATCAGTGCTTATTAAATTGAATTCATTTGACTATCATAAGTTGTTAAATTGCTATGAAATTTTGTGCTTATGGTGAGGAAAAACAGATTATTTCTTAAGACACAATGAAATATACTTTAGGTCTTCAACACATTTGATTTATAAAATTTAATCAATGTATGAAAGTCTATAGTTTATTTACCCATATATTCTAAACTATTTTAACCATTCAAAAATAAAGATAATGTATAAGACTTTTTTTTTTTTAATATATTTTTATTGATTTTTTTTACAGAGAGGAAGGGAGAGGGAGAGAGAGCTAGAAACATCGATGAGAGAGAAACATCGACCAGCTGCCTCCTGCACACCTCCCACTGGCGATGTGCTCGCAACCAAGGTACATGCCCTTGACCGGAATCGAACCTGGGACCTTTCAGTCCACAGGCCGACGCTCTATCCACTGAGCCAAACCGGTTTGGCAATGTATAAGACTTTTAATTATCAAAGATTCACATGCACTTTATAGGGACTCATTCTATTGAGGCAGTTCCTGTGTTTATTAGCTTCATTATTGGTCTACTGAATTCACTCATAATACCCCTCAGATCCTTACTAAGTGTGTAATTATATTTGCTTTTATGGGTCCATTCAAAGGCTGGTTGTATATATCAGCCCTCTCCTTTTTTATATATGTTAAGTAGTTGCCATGGCTATATTTGAGCTTGTATGGAAATTAGCAATACATATTAGTTTGGTCCTTGATGAATTAGCTTGAAAGAAGTTAATCTAAATTTAAAAGAAATTAAACTTGTCTGGCCAGTGGTGCTCAGTGGTTGAGCATCTAACATATAAGGTATAAAAATTTTGATGAATATGTGCACAAAATCTTATTTATTTTACTAATTATCAGTATAATTCATACAGATTGGGACATTTGGATTGTTTGAGAAAGATTGGTTTTAAAATAAAATTTATATTCTTTTCAGTGCGGGTTGTTGCAAATGTGGGAAAGATAGAGATTGTCCTAAAGAAAAAAGAGAATACTTCTTGGGAATGTCTTGGTCATCCCCTGGAGAATCATAATTCACTTATTCCAAAGAAAGATACAGGTATGCTGTGCTGTTATTTTGAGTCCTGTGTTTAAGAAATTGTTGTGTTGGCACATTTGTTTCAGAATGTGGAAGGCCACTTTGGGTGAGCTTTTGCTTCTATCTCCTATTTGAAATGGGGGCGGGGTGTGTGGAAGGATTGAGCGAAAAAACAACTCTTGGATATGGACAACAGTGAGGTGATTGCTGGAGGAGTGAGGGTGAGTGGTGTAGGAAGTTATGGGGGGATAAATGGTGATGGACGGAGATTTGACTTGGGGTGGTGAACACACAACACAGTGTACAGATGACGTGCACCTGAAACCCTTATAATTTTGTTAATTGTTGTCACCCCAATAAATTCAATAAAAAGGAAAAAAAAGTTGAAATGGAACACCTTTTTTTTAACAGATTAAATTTCAGATTCTACTGTCTAATGTTTAGACATAACATGAAGTCATTAGGTAATGATACCTAATGGAGAAGCCACTTGTGTTTAGAATGCTGCCCAACCATTCACTTCTTCAGGTTTATTTTTATAAAAGGTGCCAAAACAAGTTTAAGTTTATGCCTTGTATGCTCATTTTTTTTTCTATTAAAAAAGGCATGTTTATTGTTTTTCTGCTTACCTAAACCAGTTTCTCAGTTTACTCCTAAAGGATGTAAATCATTTCCTTTCTTCATCTCATTTCTTCATTCACTTCCTTTCTTCCTTTATTTTTTAAGCATTTATCTTAGTATAACATATTTATAGAAAAGGGTTCATATTTATGTTCTACTTAATGAATTTTCAGAGTCAACACACTATATTTTCTCTCAGGAAATTGGTAGAATTGGCTCCTTGTTCCAAATGTGTAGAAGTTTCATAACTTGATATGCCTTACTATGGATCTCTCTTCATTCTTTGGGCAGGATATCCATCCTTTTGTGCTAATCCTTGTTATGGAAACTTAAAGACCCTGATTTTTCTTCTACATGGTCTGTTTTGTCTTTCTAGAAGTATTCTTTTTTTTAAACCTCCTTAACCAGTCCTTTAATCATCTTATCTTTTCTCTCTTATTTTCAGTTTAGTCCTTTTGTTCTACTTTGTGGGAGATTTTTTCAGCTGTGACTTCCAGCTCTTTTATTGAATTACTTATTTCTATTCTCATATTTTTAACTGCTAAGACCTTTTGATTTTTGATTCTTTGTTTTAGTATGCTATTCTAATTAGCTTCTCTTATGTTTTTAAAAATTACCATAATGGTTTTTTGTTCTCTGTGAAATCTCTGTGTCCTCAAAGTTTCTTTGTTTTTTAATACTTTATTGATTTGAGAGAGAGTAAGGGGAAGAGAGAGAGAGAGAAGAGAGAGAGAGAGAGAGAGAGAGAGAGAGAGAGAGAGAGACACCAGTTGTCTCCCATATGCACTAGGTTAGGGGGATGGAACCCGTAGCCTGGGTGTGTGCCATGACCGGGAATTAAACCAGCAACCCTTCCGTGCATGGGATGATGCTCAACCAGTTGAGCCACACTTATGAAAAAAACTTGTGGGTTTTTTTGTTTTGTTTTTAATATTAGATGCTTTCTTTGAATGTCTGTTTATCCTTGACTACCTGCTCATATTTCAGGGTGGAACTCTAAAAGCTGATATGAAACTGTGCATATAGGTGTGACTTGTTGACAGTAACATTTTCACTGTATGGCTGATCATTTCTTTGGGAAAGTCTGATGCCATTATTTTGTCAGAGTCTCCAGAGTGAACTTTCTCCTACCTTGCACCCAACAATTCAGAAGTCACGTGGGGGGAAAATGCTAGGTGCCTGTAAACTTATGTAATTTTCTTTTTCTGTGTCTAAATACAGTGACATTCTGAGGAACTGGGGTTATGACTTTAGCATATGAAAATTGAAGGAGACACAGTTTGGCCTATAATATAAGCCCAAATTCAGGGGTCCTATGTTCTACCCTCTCTGGAGAGCAAGCTTCACATGCTTTGCCAGAATAAGAGAGGTTCAGTTATGTGGCTATGCTAAATAGGGAAGGACTTCAGGAAAGTTGAGGGTGGGAGGGCATCTAAGCTTCTTAAATGAACTTTCTATCCGGAAAGTGGTTCTAGCTCTGCCTTCCCTCTGATCCAGAGGTATTTGGTCCTGCCAATTTCTGAGCCTTAAAGGGATCTTGTTTTACAAATGGGTTGTTGATTCTTAATGTTCTGTACTCCTCTAGTTTAGGATTTAGCTTTATTGACTCTGCTGCGTCAGTTATCAATCATCCCTTTGGCTTCTCAGCTCGCAGAGTTTTGTTGTTACTTAAAATTTTCATTCTTCTATCCTTGCAGGCTTATGCCTGAAAAAACAACCAAACACACACGCACAACATCTTTGCTTTTATTTGGGATGTGGGGGAGTTAGAGGGAACTAACTGCATGTATTCAGTTTACCATCTTTAACTATTTAAAATTATAAAAATACTAGAGGCCCAATGCACGAAATTCATGCAAGAGTAGGCCTTCCTTCCCCCGGCTGCCTGCACTGGCTTCTCTCTGGCACCCGGAACCCAGGCTTCCCTCGAAGTCCCGGCTTCGTCCAGAAGGTCGTCTGGTCTAATTAGCATATTATGCTTTTATTATCATAGATGATTGTGGATAATATTTTAATTTTTAGAAAAGTACCAGGTAGCCATATTTTAAGAACTTACTATGTGATGAAGGCTCTTTTAGGTACTGTGTTATGAAACAAATCAAAGGCATCAGAAATTATTTTCCCAGGTAGAGGAAAATTGTACACAAAATATGAGATTGAAGAATACTTTTTGCCCTGCTGGGTGGCTCAGTTGGTTAAAACATTATCTCGATATGCCAAACTTGTGGGTTTGATCCCCAGTCAGGGCATATACAAGAATCAGCCAATGAATGCATAAATAAGTGGAACAACAAATTGATGTCTCCCTCTCTCTAAAAATTTTTTTAAAAGAATACTCTTACAATGAAACAGGCTGATAAGGGCACATTATATAGTACAAATAGAGCATATTCTGAGGTAATCTCAAGGGAACAGATGCAGATGAATTTGACCTTGAATGACTCACTGAAGAAGGTGGATTTCAAGCAGTATTTTGAAAGTAGCTTTCAAAAATAATTACAACAACTATGAAAGTCTTCCCAGGTAGAGCTTCAAATTGTTGTTACTGGTACTTACTGTGCTAGGTATTTTGCAGGTTTTTAGAGGTGGGGAAGAGTAAGCCTTGTGTGGGAATGGTTAAATAGATTCATTTTACCAGAGCAGGAGGTATTAGGTAGGGAGAGAGAATGTCATGGAATAACAGTATGATCTAACAGACCCGAAGAGATTAGGTAAAAGACAATAAAATGAAAACAGATATTATGAAAATGAAATCTCTTGCCCTAATAAAAGCCAAGTCCAAGAAATAAATGATATTGAGAACCAAGGCTGACCTCCATTTGGAAATAGTTAGGATGAATATTGCCCAGTTATTCTTCTCAGTAATTTCCCAAGGCTTTCCATGAACTCTTTATCCCAGCCATACATTTCTCCTTGAGGTATGAACCACCATAGGTAGCTTTAGCTTTCTTGTCTGAAATTGGAGCCAGGCATGTATTTTTCAGCGAATTAGGTTTTCTACTTTGTTAAATGACTCAAAGTTTAGGGGATATTTCCATATATGTGACTAAATTAACAAAGATAATTCTTATTTTTTCTTTCCCTTCTTAAACCAGAATAAAAGCTATAGATTTTTTTTTTAAAAGGAATCATTTTGAATTATGTTATGGCATTTCATTATTCTTAAATTTATATTTTTTAATAAATATAATATTTTCATTGATTTCAGGGAGGAAGGGGAAGGAGAGAGAGAAACATCAATGGTGAGAGAATCATCTATTGGCTGCATCCTGCATACACCGTAATTGTGACTTCCTGGTTCATAGGTTGACACTCAACCACTGAGCCACACCGGCCAGGCTGTAGATTATTTTATTCACTGTAGCAAAGCTGAATATTTATATCATCTAAGTATTATGATTAACTTGATGTCAGTATCTTTAAATGTTTAGTCCATCACATGGTTCTTAGGTTTTCAGTGTAGGTAACTTAAATTATTGATTAGTATACTGGCTTCCTCCTCCTGAAATTTCTTAGCTAAAGGAATTTTAGTTTGAAAATAAACATACATGTAAGTTGAATACTTTTTTTTTTTTTTTTTTAATTTTTTGCTAAAAGTATTACAAAGGGTATTACATAAGTGTCCTTCCCCACCCACAAAGAAATCCCAACTTCTAAAGATGAAGAGACAGTAATTTCATTAAACAAATAATGATTACATTCTGAATAATATAGAGAAGAGTGACTCGTAATCCGTTATTAAGGTATTAGTGAAAAAAACACAGTTTAAGATGCAGCGTGCAAATAAAAACAGCAAGTATAATTAGAAAAGGAGAGATTGAATGGAAGACAGCACAACAAATAGAGAGCTATTAAGTCAGCAGTCATATTATTGCTAGCTAGTTGGATACATTAAAGC